ACACAGACAGACACAGACAGACACAGACAGACACAGACAGACACAGAGACAGAGACAGAGACAGAGACAGAGACAGACCGACCGACAGACAGACAGACACACACAGACACACACACACACACAGACACACACTTCGACATTGGTTTTCAGTTACACTCAGTTCCCGGTGGGAAGAAGGCAATGGAACCGAAGGGTGGCAGAGTCCGTGGAACAGTATTGTTGAACAAAAGTTTCACAGCAAGCTCACAACGCGCGGCGCGGTGCAAGAACTCAGCTGCAAAGCGGCGGAGAGGGGAGGGTTTGTGGGAAGTATCATGAACCACCATGGAATCAAAAAGTAAAAGCGTGCGCAACAGTTGCTCGGCAGGTACACGGAAGTGATCAGCTTCCGCTTCCTAGGATCTTGCAAGGAGCTTCGTTGGGCAGAGCCTTGCAAGTCCTCTCTGCCCCCCTGCCGAAATGGAAGTAGTAAGTAGAAGCCCTTGGATACAGGGTGGGACACACACAGATCGCCGAGATCGGCGCTTTTTCAAAAACCGCCGGCAGGCTACCGGGTCATGTCCCTTTAGGACGTAAAGTTGGATGAGCTCATCCGCAGCGGCCACAGCGCTTGAAGGTGGAAAACGTGTACTTGTGAATGGTGTGGAGTCTGGAGTGGAGGCCGGAAAGAGCCAAGCGCTGGCTACCGGCACTGGTGGCATCCCTGATTTTCCAGGGTTGGTGAGGTTGGATGTAGGTGATGGTTCGTTGTTGTAAGTCAATGTTGAAACCCAGGAGGTGGAAATCGTCGACTGTCTCGAGCTCGACTGGGTCGCCAAAAAAGTTGTGAATCAGGGTTTGTATGGCTGGGTGTTGGAGAAAATGTTCCTTGTGGACAATGAAACGGTTGTCGACGTATCGGTAATAGGTAAAGTGAAGGTCTGTGTGCTGGAGGAAGTTGTTGTGTATTTGATGCCACGAGTGTTCGATGAGGGTAATGGCAACGTTGCAGAGGGCAGGCGAGAGTTGGGAGCCAATCCCAGCTCCTCGGATTTGCTTGTAGGTGTTGTTGCATGCCCGGAAAATACAGGTGTCGAGTGCAAAGGCGACAATGGCGGTGATGTCTGAAGTGTGTAGGGTGCGTTGTGTAGGGTGTTTGGCATGATGTCGGCCTATGTGGGAGTGGTGGAAGGGATTGCCGGTGGCGTGGACGTCCACTGTTATAGGGTGTGTGTGGACTGTTGTGCTTGCCATTGCTGAATCATGGAGTGGACCGCATCAGTGAGACGGTGTTGGGGAACGGAGTTGAAAAAACCGACCAAATCGTCCTTGGTGGCGTGTAGTGAAATGTCTGCAGGAGTCTGGGTGAGGTAGGTGTGAAAATGGCGCCAGAGTTGGGGAATGGAGAGTTGGCCTGGATGCTGCGGGTAAAGGTGTTGAAGAATGATATCAAGCGCTCGACTTGTAATGCGTAGAAGGTTGCCACTGAGAGAGTGAAAGTAGGAGATGATAGTGCGTCCTTTCTGCCACTGCTTCTTTTCTTTGAGGTGGACGACACCATACGGAATGTTGAAGTCTTTCCGGAAGCCCCATTTGTATCGTGAGCGTAGCTGGGGTGGGACGTTGGCTTGGAGGTGGTCATGGATGTTGGCTGCTGTGAGGTGGGGAAGTGGTCAGCATGGTGGAGCACGGTGTGATTGCCGAGATGTTCCTGGAGTTGGCGAATGAGGCGGGCTGTAAAACGTGGTTGCTGTTAGAGGTGAGCAGTGTGCAGACGCCATTGGTGTTCCAGGAAAGGGTCCAAATGTTGCGTGAGGGTAGGCGGAAGCCCTTGGAGTTTGAGCCATTTGGTGTTGGCTGTTTGGAATGTGAGAAAATAACGTGCTTTGCTGGGGTAGAATGTGCTGCTCATGTTGGCATTCAAGAAGATACGGAGTTGTGGTGGGAGATGTAGTTGGTCAAGTGTCAGGATGTAGTGGTCCTTGACTGGAGCAGTGTTGGGGTCTAGGAGGAGGCTGCGTAGGTGGGCGCATGCGCAAGGGAGGTCCGATGGATCTGGTGGTGTGTGGAATGTGTCTTCCCAGGTGCGATGGTTGTGGAGCTGGGATTGGAGAGTTTTGTGGGCTGCCTCACGTAAACGGTGGGAGGGGAGATGTAGTGGAATGGCAAGGTGATTGTGCTGCTGGATGGTGGTACGAATCCATTGCTGGCAATGCTTGGTGAAATCAGGGTGTGCCAGCAATGGTATGGTGAGGGGGATGTTCGGCTTGGGGGTGGTGTGAGGTTGCGATAAATGAGGGCTTTGTTGATAATGTGCAAAGCTCGGCTGCGGCCTGGTTCCTCAAGATTGGCTGCCGTACGTCGGATGGCATAAACTTCCAGGTCTGTGTGTCGGCCGCTGCGTATTTGCTTGGCAGCTTTAAAGGATGCAGCCGTGTGCTTGGTAAGGTCACGAAGCAAAGTGAGTGCATGGTGTTTGGTGGAGGTAAAGAGATGGGGTTCTGTAATTGTTTTTTGGCGTCGGCGTAGGCGTCTGAAAAGTCTTTTGTGTGTGGCCAGTCTGGAGTAAAAGTGGGCACGATGTTTGGTGAATTGCCAGCCTTGGGCTTTGAGCTTGAGGTGATGTGAAATGAAAGGCCAGTTGAGGGTAGGCATCCAGTTGGAAATATAGTGATGCTCTTGAATCCAAGCCTGGTCGTAGTTGTCATGGGATGTAAGTTGGATGGTGGTGTAGTGGTGAATGTTGTCATGGGAGTGCCAATAACGAAGGGAAAGTTCTGCTGATACCGGGATATTGTTTTGGAGCTGCTTGAGTTTTGCGCGGCGATTGTGTTCTCGATGAGGGACGCCGATGGCAGTAGAGCCCACATAGAAGTGGCCGTGTTGGTGGTAGCAGCGCTGTGGTGGTGTAGGGTTGAAGTGGAGCTTGACGTAAACGGAGTTGGATGAAAGGAAGTTGTGGTAGTGGTATGTGTGGGGTAAGATGTGGAGTTGTCGAAAGCGGTTGCGCCATTGTTGGGAACGATGCGTGCTGGATGGATAAGCAAATAGGAGAGTGATGTGGAGGAGGCCTGTTGCAAAGATTGCTTCGGCGCGTTCAATGTATTGAGTATTGTGGATCAAAAAGGAGAGTGCACGGTGGAGGTGGAAGAGTTGTTGCATGAGTGTGTGGCTGGGTCGCTGTTGGCTGAGGAGGGAGAGTCAGCAGGCGATGGCTACGCCAACGCTGACGATGTGCTGGAGGCTCTTGGTGGGGAGCCGGTTGACTTTGCCGAGAGGGAGGCCGTATCGAGTA